ATAATTGGACGGTGGCAAATCTTGTTTGTTACTCCTTATACCTGTGTGTGTGTATATATATATATATGATAATTCCAATCTATACACATGGCAACATGTGATGATGCATCATCCAGACTCATCCCTCATTAAAATAAGATTATATTGTTTTTAGAATTTTATCATGTTTTCACGTGTAGTTAAATTAAGATTAATCTTAACATGTATATATGAATTCCAATGAATACACATGGCAACATGTGATGGTGCATCATCCAGGTTCATCCCTCATTAAAATAAGATTATATTATCATTAGACTTTTCAAATGAATTGATTTAGACTCTATCATTTCACATGTAGTCAAATTAAGATTAAATTTTAACATGGATATATGTATAAATTTTGAGATTTTTTTTTTTTTTTTTCTTCCTTTGACATATGAAACTTTTACATTGCCTCACAAAAGTTTATTGTGTATCCATTTTATCTTATCATATTACATATATTTTGTTGGTTAAATGAATATTTCATAAATTGGGTTCAAGTCACATTTGATTTTATAAAATAAAAAGCTTTTATCAATTAATTTGAATTATAGTTGAAAGAACCATTGAAATAGTATGAATATCATTTTTCTCTGCCTTGGATCATGTGGCCTACTTGATGCCACTGCGAGAAATCTAGACGCAACCTATGGTGGGTCCGGTGAAGTGAACCCATGGTTGGGGTGGCTTTGAGCCTACGGTTCAGAATTAGAATTATTGGCAGATGTTTGACGAATAGACTAGTTTTAGGAGTAATGGAGAAAATGCCAAATGAAGGAAGCAACAGTCCTCTACCTCAACTAGGCATATACGTCCGTTGAATCGCGTGCACGAGTCTAATATGAGAGAAGTGTGTGTACAACGTTGCGTCCTTTAACATTCTCCCCGTACTCACTCTCCTTGTAACATTCTCCATTGTATATATTCATTTTACTTTTTTATCTGAACTTGATACGAGACAACACCTCTCTTATAATATTCTCTCACAGTCTAACTCCCAATGCTTTCATTCACGGATTAAGTCACCTTGCTTATTCGGACAACGCACTAGAAAGCTTAGCGTTATATTGGATCAATAACTAAATCCAGCTCTAATAACAATAGATTCACGGTTGAACCAAAAGAGTTAAGCTATTAAGTGGTGCTAACACTTAACATAAATATACTATGATTTGTAGTATCAATCGTGGTTACGGTACAACGGATTTAGATAAAGTCAATGTAAACTATCTTATACGGGTTGTGTATCGAATTTAAAAAAGAGTCGCGTATCGACCGATAGAGAAACATAATATATACCCAATTCATTCCCCATCTGGATCTGATGTGAGACAAAACTCCTCTTGGAACAACTGCACATTATAAGACACAAGACAAGTTCAAGTCTTTCAACTGCCCACCAACCCAGAATCATATAAATCAATGGCTATCGGCTAGTATGCAAATACCAAATGCTCTTTTCGCCTCTCAACTAGAGAATGGATGTCCCACCTGCCATTTCGTTGTCCCAGTTGGAAAATACATGTTCAACCTTCCAATTAAGATGCCCTAATTCAACGGATTGCCTACCATTGGCGATCTCGGACCTCTACAGATGCAATAAACAAACTGGCACTCTTAGCATGAGAACCTCTGTTATTATGAAGATATACATGCTGTGTTTGACGGTATAGAATTGGAGTCTTAAAATTAAAATTGGAGAAAATTTTGATACAATTTTCTAAATTAGTTTCCTCAAATTCTAAAGTTCCAATTCCATGAATGCCAAACATATTCACAATGTAATTCGAGAGAGTCTCCTTCCTCGGCTAGAGAGTTTGACTGCTCAGCGTGTCCGGAAAAATTTGCCCTAATCCTCAAAGGTTATGTTGGTTGTAACGCACTTGGACTTCTTCTTTTGATTTGAAGAAGATCAACTTTTGTATTGGGCTTTACTTTGACTTCTCTTTTGCTCATTTGCTGCAAATCAACTTTTGTATTGGGCTTAACTTTGTTTCCCATGGGTTAGGCTTCACTTGTATAGGTTGAATATTCATTTACCTTGTTTTCCGTAAGACCATTGGTTTATCCCACATTTTTTATTTTTTTAATTGACAAGAAATTGCATTCATTTGTATCTAGGTGACTCAAACCCTTTAAAGAGTTGATATGATACCATTAGACTACACTGCTATTGGTTGTCATGTTCATTTTTTATACATTAAAAGAAAATGTATTCAAAATCTTTATAAACAATATAATTTTTATGACTACAAATAATAAATAATAACATAAAATTTAAAATAAAATAAAATAAAAAGGATAAGAATAAGAAAATATATAAATTTTAAGACATGGATAAAAAAATAGTTGATGATAATAAAGAATGAGATAATGGCTGCTTATATTGGTAGTTCACTGGACTATTTTAATAAAATTGAAATTACGTAAAAACCCTCAATCACATTAAGCACTTTTTAATACCGATTCTGACCTCCATATTAGCATAAGAACACACACCCGTCATAACCACTCTTTCACTTTGTCTGCGTCTCTCGAATCTCCTATAGGTTTATAACAATATAGGACCGTGGAGGGAAAATACTCTCTAACCAATAAAAATACAACACGTCATCACAAGAAGGGTCCATGGCAAATACAAAGACTATTCAACTCTCGACTGGGCTTCAATCAGGAGTTTGGGCCAGCCCAACCAGGCTTAACAAGCTGAACCCATTAAGGAGATCCGGAACACTTGGTTTCCAGGCCTAGATTACCAATGAGTCCATTTTTAGTAGTAATTCTATGAGAAGAAGGATTATTACTTAATAGTTAAGTCCATTAAATTCGTTCCATGAAATTCATTGAAATCAGGCTATTTCTAGTTTTATCTTATGTTCTCAATGAATTGAAGAAAAAATAAAAGTAGACATATATCTGTGGCGTCAGGTCAAGTGTTTCCAATTGTCCGGAATGAAGTCCACTAATCTGATCAACAAAAGGTATATAAATCCATAACAAATGTATCTTATTCAAAATTCAACCCATTAGAAACCAATTAAACAAATTTGCAGTTTGCATACAACAACAATATTATAGACAACATAACAACAACAATATTATAGACAACATAACGTAATGATACATATTAAAAATAAACTGTTTCCTCTATCTACTTGATCCAGAGCAACGAACATATAATGTTGGCTGAAAATGCCACCCCCATATGTAGATTTGATCATATTCCAAGCAGAGGAAATTGCTAGGATCCAATCAAGATCACATGTGCAATAGTAAAACACTTGCATGAGCAAGAATCCATGCTTTCTTCAGTCCAAAAACACGGTAATCTTTACTCAGGATAAGGTATAGAGAAAATCAATTTTTGTAGCAAAATAAGGGTGGACAAGAACATGAATAGTGAGGAAGTAGATGAAAAAAGAACAACTACATATAATATAAAATCAATTTCTGTATAAAGCAAAGGTGAGGATGGACAAGAACATCTATATAAAAGAAGTAGATGAAAAAAAAATGGAGGAAGTGGGCTAAAGTGACAATGGATAAAAACAATAGTGTAAGAGCCCATATGTGAGGATGAACAATAACAATAGTGAAAGAGCAAATATGTGAGGAACATTAAATATGTGAGGATGGACAAGAACATAAATAGAGCACTCAACCATCTCTATGTTCTTTTTCACTTTCATTGATACCAAGCTACTTTCATTGATGAGCCTGATTCCGTGAAAGTAGAACAATATATGACTCAATGTTGAATATATGACTCAATATTGAATTGGTGTTCAACTCTTATGGCTTTAGCTCGCTAAGCGGCCTTGAGGGTCTCGGTTCTCCTAGAACCTAGAAGTGTCTCCTCGACCACGGTTGTGTAGGGCATCCGAATTC